ATGTTCAATTGTGTGTGTGTGTGTTTTTTTTTTTAAATCTTTGTTCGTTTATGTTCGTTTAGCATGTTCATGAACATAAATGAACGAACATGAACAAAGTAATTTGTTAAACGAACGAACATGAACAAGAAAATCTCGTTCGTTTATCCATTTGTGTTCGTTTGTTGTTCGGCTAACATAAACGAACGAACATGAACAAGACCTTGTTCGTGTTCGTTTGGTTCGTTTACAGCCCTAATTTCATCCATGAATTCATCATTTTTGGCTTAGATCTTCAAGATCATCATCTTTCACCAAGAACACCAAGAACACATACTTGTTCTTGGTGGCCGTGAACCCATAAAGGCTTCCAAATCATAAGTATCCTTTCCATATTCTTGGAACCCACTAGAAACTCTTGAAGCCTCATGAAACAAATAGCCTTTTAGCATGAATCAAGGACCAAAATGCATAAACTTCAAGAGTTTACGGTTGTGAACCCTTCTTGGGGCCGTAAACCCTTCTTAGCTCATGAGGTGGCCGTGAACCCTTCATCACATTGCCGCAAACACTTCATAGATTCAAGTAAGGGCCGCAAAACCTTCTTAAAGTCAAGTACTCTTGGCCGTAAACACCCTTATGGTTGTGAACACTTGTAGTGTGGCCGTAAACTCTCTTAAATCAATCATATGTCATTGATAAACTCCATTTTGAGTGATTCCTAGTTCCTAGGGATGTTTCCAATACATGATTAGTTGTTACATACATTAATTATATACATATATGTGTCATTATATGATTAATAGTATCCGTTTGTGCTCAAGACATCACTTGACATACTTAGCATCCTATATCGATCTTTCATTCGAATCACTCACTACAGGTGAGTTCATACCCTTAAACTTATCTTTTAAATGATTTTAAATGCTTTTATGGGGAGAATACAAGTAGAAAACATTATAGCTATAGTATCAATCACATGTGATTTATAACTATCAAACAAGAGGATTTCTTATACTTTAAAACTTTGTTATCAAACAAACTGTTTCAAATCATTTTATCAACTGCCATCAAGTCATCAAAAACCATTCAAATGGTAAAACCTCTTTTTTATAAACTGTTTATTGTTTTACAAAACTCTTTTAAAGTTATATATTGTCAAAATCATGTCTATATAGATATAGTTATATAAATAAGGTTGAAAGGGCTTAGGACTGATAACTCACTTTATTTCCTGTTCCTTTTTTGGTTCTAGACTTAGGGGATCGGTTGTTTGTATGAGTGTTGTTTGAATCTTAGTTATATTTCATGTATATGTATGTATATTTATAAAAGTTCTTCTAATCAGTTCAATACCTCTGGGTAGCAAAGGTGTACAAACATGATCAGTCATTCAAACAACATTACTAGTAAACTATAATAGGTATAGTTTAGAGGATTACTACTCACCATTTCTAGAACAATGAATCTTACAAGATTCAGTTCATACACGAGTAAGTTCAAACATACTATACACTATAACGAAAGAACTTACTAGACACTAGAACAGAGGGAACATACTATACACAAGAACAGAAAGAACATACTATACACTAGAACAGAAGGAACATACTACACTAATACAAGAACAATATAACATTGATGTGAGCCACTACTTAATGGCATGGCAACATAATGTTGTGTCACGTTTTGTAACCAGAGTCTCCTGGAGGGAGAGCGTGAGTTTGTGTATAGATCTATACGGGATTGACTATCCTACACCTTGCTGCTAGCTACAGTGGGACCTATAGGTCCACGGGTAACGAATGTCATACCATTTCGACGTCTTTGATCGTCGTGTGTTACTATTCAATAAAGTATGGTTATAATCTCATCACATTTTACCTTAATTAAACAATTGGTTTAATGTAGTTAGTACATCGATAGTTACTATATACAATACTATAGTACATCTTCATTTTCCCATTACATTCATATAGTGATCTTCTCACATAAAAGGTAATGTAAACTATTTTCTGGTAATGATAGTCATACTTGGGAAAAACACTCACTTTTACAAAAGAAACATACAGAACATTCGGGTCTTGGTAGAAGGCTACATTTCATTATAAAGTAGAACATATAGGATTTTCTAGGAGATACAAACATTTACATCAAACATTTACATCAAACACTTACAAACACTTTCGTCAAACTTATACAAACATTGACACTAAAATACTTATGAACTCACCAGCTTAAATGCTAATCTACTCTTTCAAAATAACTTGTATTCTCAGGTCACCAGTAAACATGTACACTGGACCAGGTTTTGAGAAGACGAAGCACATTCGAGACTCATCTTTTATTTTGATTCATATTTTGGTGTCTTTCAAACTATACACAGAACACACTTGTATTAAATTATATTATGAATGCAATGAATGGTGTTGTTGTTTGTTTACTATTGTGCATTTTTATGATACTGTACATGACGTCCTCCGCCGCCGAACGTTTCCACTTTGGGGGTGTGACAGTAATGATGAACCATTAACATGTTAGTAAAGATAGCTTATTGATCCTTACAACTTAATTACAGTTGTGTCTCCAAAAGTGTACAATGGCCGCGATAATATTTATAAATGGTGACCGTAAATGAACATTTATGACTCTAGGGAAAAAAAACATCACTATAAGTTTATTATTCATGATGATTATTAATATAAGATAGATATATCTCCAAAAACACCCTAGCATATAATGATGGGTTTGACCTATAATAACAGGTTTTCATGAGTTATACTCACTACAATTCAATGACAGCGTAACATATCTTCCATGGCACGATCTTTCCTATCATGTTCTTAAAAAAAACTGACATAAAATGTCTTTAATTACAGGGTTTTTTTTTACGTGGATAGATCCCAGTTTTGTAGTAATGGTTGTTATGATTGTAGTAATGATATTTATTAAAGAAAATCACAAAAAAAAAATCAAAAAATGATATATAAATTAGAATTATTGTGTTTTGAATTAAAAAAAAAATGAGGTTTTTTTTTTAGTGAAAGGGGTCTATATGGTATAGGGACTTTTATGCTGATTTCCTTTTTAAAATCCCCCCGAATAAGATTTCCACGAAACGTTAAAATCAACATTTTTTTTTCAAAACTAGTAATGTCCCAAAACTAGTTTATTATTCATCAACCATTTGAACATTCATCGGAAAGCCAAGCCTAAGTTTAAAGTTGAATTAAGTGATATTTTCATACACTTACTTCAATACAATCAATTTTCCCTACATTCCATTATTAACCAGAAAGTGTTTGTATTGAGTTTTTATAAGTTTGATCATGACATTACCAAATTTTGTTTTAGGTATCCACTTGGTATATAAGAAAGAGAGTATAGTTAAGTGACTTTAGGAAGAAGATTTACAATTATATCTCATTAGTTTTTTAAGCTAGTACTATGTAGTTTTGGAATTCTATATCTAATATTTGTCACATGATAACAACCACATATTCCCTATCTCCATATTATATATTTACTTTGACAGTAGGTTTAACAATTTACTAGGGATTCCAAAATTTTCAAACAAGTCACCCAGGCCATGTATTCCCCTTCTTCCCTTTGCTCTTATGTTAAACTAAATCAATGTTTGTTGAAAGAAACGTGTTTGGTTGGATGCCACTGTTAGGTACTTTTTTGATATTGCAATCATATGACAGAAATAGGTTTTATCATTTTGTATTATATAAATCGTTTTTTTCTTCTACAAAACGTATTTAATATGTTTATGTAATAGTGTTTTTTGTAGTTTTGTATACATAGAAAATCATTGGTTTCAGAAAATGGTATGATATAAAATCAATGGTTGCTTAAAAAGTGTTGTTTTTAAATTCTTTTTGTCCATATGTGGGCTGCTAAGTTAAAATTTACTTGAATTAATTTCAAAAAATGGTAGGGATGGACGCAGAAATACATAGTAGGTGTTGCCGAAACAAGAAAAATAGTTTTAAAAAAAATCAAAAAATCGAAAATTTTTACACTATGGCCAGAAAAGTTAAAGGTTGCCGGTGCCACATTGGGAACCCCTTAAAACCATCCCTGCATACACATACAAATATACATATGTCCCTTTATTATAATCATTTTTCATTATTTATAAATAAACATAGATTGTTTCACCTTATTAATGTGTTAAACGTAGTTTTTTTCGTTTAATTGTTTGTTTTTGTGTTAAATACATTTTGTTACAATTATTATATAGTATTATGAACATATAAATATTATTATTAATAGTATTATTAGTATGATTTTTAATTGTTTGTGTCTTAAATATGTAAGAAAAATGATCCAAAAAAAATTTAAGAGTTAATGTAAAATAATAATAATCGGATTAACAATAATAACAATAATAATAATGTAAATTATAAGTCCGTAGCTATTTTATAGCTGTTTTCTTTCGTCGCTATGTCATAGCTATTCCGTATCTAATTAATTAGCTACGCAATCACGACGAATTAGTATCCATAGATATTCCGTAGCCATTCTGTAGCTAATTAGCTAAGCAATAGCTACGGATTCCGTAGCTAATTAGCTACGGACTAGTATCAGTAGCTATTCCGTTAATATATTAAGGCGTCTAATTCTGCATTTAATCCGTAGCGATTCTGTAACTAATTAACTACCAAAATTTTTCATAGCTCTGTAGCAAAACTTCCTATTTTCTAGTAGTGCCAAAATAGCCATCAAAATCTTATCAACGTGTTGGAAGTTTTTTCTGGACTTGGCCCGCGTTGATTAATCCTTATAGGCTTATACCTACAAACTTGATTGCAATCTCAGCCACTCGTTTTTTTGGAAGAAAATGGGAGCAACGGTGGTTCCCGTTGACTCAAGGTCAGCTAAGGATTAAATTTCTCCATTAAGTAATCCAATAGACACGGCATTCGAGCACAGAAATTCACATGGTTATGATTGTTATACCTATCCTTATATTTTTTCTTGCTTCAAAGCCTTTAATCGTCGTTTTAAACAGAATGCAGCTCCTTCAAGTTTTGCATTTACTTATCTTGATCTCTTTAACAGCAACAGTAACAAAAGCCGAGAGAATCAGCAAAAAAGGATGCAATGATAGGTGTGGAGAGATATCGATTCCATACCCTTTCGGGATTGGAACAAATTGTTCACTAAACAAATGGTACAATATTGATTGTAACTCCTCGACACCGTATCTGTCTGCACTCAACAACACGGAGGTCTTGAGTGTAAATTCAGAGGACGGCTACAGATCTGGAGCGGTCACTGTTAAGGTCTCCACCACTTTTGATTGCGTGAGGTCTGTCCAGCATAGCACTCCTGTCCTAAGCAACGAGAGTCCCTTTTATATTTCCACTTTGGCTAACAAACTCTTCGTTGAGGGGTGTGGCATTAATGCTGACTTGATGGTGGAGAAGACTATTGTTGCTAGTTGTTCAACGATTTGTCGTAATGATACTGTCAGCGATAGAAACAACTGCTTTGGCATTGGTTGTTGCCAAGCCACGTTTGATAGTACTGATACGATTTATAGTAATTATGGTGGATGGTACTATAAAGAACATCAGAATATCAAGACGTTTAGGTTGAATGTAACAGGCTTGGAAGGGCCGGCTGGAGACGAGATATGTAGGTCTGCCTTCCTGATGGACAGTTCATACTTCAAAGCAGGCTTTCCAATTGACAAGAACAGCACTTACGTTCCCATAACACTTTCGTGGTATACAGATACCCAAGACGACAGCAATACTTCTCCAGAATGCAAAAAGTGTCGACTTAAGGGATCAAAAGACCAAGTTATGGGACCAAAAGATGCTACTTTCTTCCCGAAATCTATAACTAAGCTTAGATTGAACAAGTTCCAGTCTTTATATCTCCAAACGGCTGAAAGTGATGCACAAAATCTGGATCTACTGGCTCTTTCCTTTCATTAGCTTCTCCTCAACCTTCCTTCTTCTTCAAAATCACAAAAGAACACTCACAAGCTCTTGTAAGCTCAAAATGCACTAAAAACGGCTAGGATTTAGAGGTTGACTATAAAAGGGGTAATGAGCATGATAAGGTAAGGAAGGTGAAAGGATTAGGATGCTTAAATAGGGTGAAAGCCCTAAAAATTAGGGTTTTCCTCTGGCTTGAGTACGCCCTACGTACGCTGAGATTACCTCGATGGTGCACATGCAATGAGTACGCCGAAAGTACCAATTGTATGCCCAACGTACTCACAAACCCTCCATCACCTTTAAATTAAATAAAAAGGGTATATTTAATGCGTTGGAAGTATACTGACCGTAAAAGAGAAGGTTGTTTTTTCTTCTACGAATCCAAGTGTCGAACAACTAAAAACTATGGTGACGTTATGGCGGATATCATCCAAGAACATATCCTAAATGCAAACTTGTTTGGAATTCTTAGCAATATGAACATAGAGGTACATATACCATCTATATTTCATTGCTCTTTTCAGTTACCCTATTAGAAAAAAACATATACATGAAAATTAGTCCATTATCATATTTCTAATCGGACCAACTTTTTAATCAAGCATGACCATTTTTTCGACGTATACAACCTTTTCATTATGAATAATCTTCTTGGTGCACCTATGTATCTTCTTAAATGCATTTTTTGGTTCGTTCATACAAGTGTAGTAGAAGGTACGTAGAGTTGGAGACTAATAGTATATATAGTAAAGTTGATATTTTGGTAATTTTTTGAACAATAGAGTTATAGCAAACTAGTAGTGACCAATGTTTTCATTAATTTATTTTAGATGCCAGGTAGCACTTCTCGAGTTCTGCACTCTTCAGTTCTGCGCAACTCTAATTCAGTCAACCAGATGTCATCTTCTAAAAGTCATCATAATGATGGTAATAAGTTTTATGTGTTTTTTTCCTCGGTTTGTTCTTGTAAACATAGTTTATTTGGGCTCCATCTTATATTATTATTTTCTATAGTTTGCCTTATTTAACTTTATTTTGAATTTCGTTTGTTTTTAGAGAGGGAAGTGATAGTATTGATTCTAAAGTATGTTATAGCACGAGGTATTCACCCTAGCATGTATTGATGGATTTTATACAAAGAATCCTATGTGTGCATGCAACCCTAATTGGATCTATGTTCTCACTATTAGACATACAACTTTATGAATACAAAAAGAAACCTGGGATACTCCTATGATTTTCGAATTCCACAAAGGAGAATAGAATACATACCTTTTGTTGTTATATAGCAATAACAACTAGTTCCTTGAATTTCCTTAGCTCTTGAAAGCAAATACCACAAGTGTAGTACCTCTAATGGCTCACAAACACACTTTGGGTGAAAGGATGAATATAAGAGAGAGGAAGGGAGGCAAGAGGCTCTATAATTCGACCCTAGTAGGGTTTCTCCAAGGAGTAGTCGAATTCTAGTGCCTTAGGGTGGTATTTATACTTGAGGCTAGCTAGGGTTTTAAGGTGGAAACCCTAATGCCTTAGCTTAGGGCCTAAGCAAGTCCATGGACTCCTTTCCTTAAGCCCTTGGACGAAAACTCCTAGATCCTTCTAGGATTTTCGTTCAAGCCTTAATAAACGTGATCCAATAGCCCAAAGTCTCAACTATCAAATAATTACAAAATAGCCCCTGTACTTTTAATTAATTCCTTTAATCCTGAAATTAATTCCTAATTAATTTCTGATTAAATACCAATTAATAATATGATTCCAACTTAATATATTATTCATATAATATATTAGCAAATCATATTTATACCCCAATTTATTAATTTTAATAATAAACCAGCCTCTCTCCTCAACAATCATCATGTCTAGTCACCAGTGTGAAGGCAACCCAAAAGGACCATGTTCACAATCGGGTTAAGTACATACTAAAATAGTTATGGACTTAGACATTAATCTAACATGTATTTTTTTTTTCTTTTAATTTTGTTCGTTAGTCTATGTTTAACATATAACTGGTTCCACATTTAGACATATTTTGACATTTACTACGATATTTGATTCAAAAAGTTTAAAATATATCGATGATAAATAATGAAATTTTTATTATTTTCTACGTGTGGCAATTAAAATTTTTAGTTTACTTTATATTCTAGATAGAAAATATGTAGATATAAATAACCTAAAAGTAACATGTATTTTTTGAATCACACCAGCTTTTAATGGCACAAAATATGTGCCACAAAAAACTTTTATTCTATGGTGACACATAAGAAAGTGCCACAAAGTATTTTTTTTGGTATTGAGGCAAATAAAAGTGTCACTAAAATCTTAAAATGTGTAACTAGAAGTAGCATTAATTCTTCAATCAAATGCGTATTCAATGACACAAAATATGTGCCACAAAAAAAATTTCTTCAATTGTAAAAAATAAAAAAGTGTCACTAAAAACCTAAAAACTGCAACGGCAAAAACAAAAAGTCTTACTAAATGGTTTTAGTAAGAACGTTTCTAATCGTACTTATTGGACGTGTTCGGCAAAATTAGCTGGTAGTAGGTAGCTTGTAGCGGGTAGCTTGTGACGTTTCATTAAACGCTACATGGAGTAGCATTTGAATTTGGAGCGTTTTGTTTAAACTAAACACTAGAAGCTTGTAGTGTCGAACATTATTTTTGTTCAAAACGGAGCGTTTTATCAAATGCTAGAAGCTAGAAGCCCCCAAACGTTCCGTACCAAACACACTCATTATGTGTGCCGCTGATTTTTTAACATGCTTTTAGTGACACTTTTTATGTGCCGCTAAATAATTTTTTTTTTGTAGTGAAATATATCTTTATATTGTATACATACCGTTCTTTTTGTTAAAAACAAAACTAAAGTAAAATAAATTATATGATACGATTAATTCATTTTAATTAATACACATATATGTGCTTATCAAATTAGCAATGATCCCTACACAATAATCATTTAAATCATATGGTTGTAAAGTACTGTGTACAAATCAATATCATTTTCAAATGTATACAAAGGATTACTTATAGTTATACACATCTTTTGGTCAAAATAATATAAAAAATAAGTTATAAAATGTATGTTTGAGAAATTCCGAATCAATATAATATTGGAATACAAAATATTATCATATAATAGGTATTATTTTATAACCCATCTAATTTTATATAGTAATATGTATGGTTGACGTCGTAAAATATAACATGCTAATCGTTGTCGAAAATATGGGTGTTACACTTGGCATATGTTTATTGCTACAAACTTTGATTCCTTGTTTTGGGAAGAAAATTGGAGCAATGGTGGTTTCGTTGAGTCAAGGTCAACTTAGAATTAAATTTCTCCATTAAATAATCCAATCAGATACCACATTCGAGCACATAAATTCACTTGGTTATGATTTTTATATCCATCCTTATATTTTTCTTGCTTCAATGCATTTTATCGTTTTGGTAAACAGAATGCAGCTCTTTCAAGTTTTACATTTACTTATCTTGATCTCTTTAACAGCAACAGTAACAAAAGCATGGAGAATCAGCAAAAAAGGATGCAATGATAGGTGTGGAGAGATATCGATTCCATACCCTTTCGGGATTGGAACAAATTGTTCTCTAAGCAAATGGTACAATATTGATTGTAACTCCTCGACACCGTATCTGTCTGCACTCAACAACACGGAGGTCTTGAGTGTAAATCCAGAGTACAGCAACAGCGGAGCGGTTACTGTTAAGGTCTCCACCACTTTTGATTGTGTGAGACCAGTCCAGCATAGCACTCCTGTCCTAAGCAACGAGAGTCCCTTTTATATTTCCACTTATGCTAACAAACTCTTCGTTGAGGGGTGTGGCATTAATGCTGACGTCATGGTGAAGAAGACTATTGTTGCCAGTTGCTCAACGATTTGTCGTAATGATACTGTCAGAGATAGAAACAACTGCTTTGGCATTGGTTGTTGCCAAGCCACGTTTGATAGTACTAATAGGAATATCAAGACGTTTAGGTTGAATGTAACAGGCTTGGAAGGGCCGGCTGGAGACGAGATATGTAGGTCTGCCTTCCTGATGGACAGTTCATACTTCAAAGCAGGCTTTCCAATTGACAAGAACAACACTTACGTTCCCATAACACTTTCGTGGAATACAGATACCCAAGACGACAACAATACTTCTCCAGAATGCAAAAAGTGTCAACTTAAGGGAGGGTATTGTTGGCTAAATCTTGACGTGGACTCGGCTACAAGTTGTTATATTTATAAGGGGAGAAATTTAGGTGTCATTCTGGGTAAGCTATTCTCTAAACCACTATATGCGTTTAAATTCCTTTCTACTTACTCTCCCATCAAATTCGTGTAGGCATGGTTCAACAACTACTAACCCATTTATTTATTTATTATAGCTTATAAACAATAACCCCAACCATTCATCTGTTTAAGAAAAGGTTAAGTGCTGTTCCGCTGTTTAAAAAAAATAAGTACCTGAATGTAAAAAAAATAAAAATCACTTCACTAACCAAGGTTTGTTAAACACGTATTTTTAAATATCAACTACCTTTCATGTATTACTATTATATTAAATAATTTCTATATTTTTCATGTTAAATTTCAAAATAATTAGTTCAGCATTTTCTTATATATTATTTATTAAAGAATGATCACATATTTACATAAACTATGTATAGCCATCTGGGATGACATATTGGCTCAAATTCAAAGAAAAATAATAATTTGAGGGTTAATGTTCATTAGAATTTTGAAACAACCACACCTTAGATAACTTGCTGGAAAAAAATTCAAATTTTACTACCTGAAGAAAAAAATCAAATTTTGCTAACTTTATATGTGTATCAAGCCTTATATAGTTATGTCATTAACAATTATACACTTAAGATTCATTGTATTTTACATTAATTTAAGAATAAGTACCGAACTAAAATTTATTTACGAAAAAATATGAATTACCGGTAAAAACGACAATTTGACCGGTTTTTTTTTCCAGGTTTTTCGATTGTATTACTTTCACGCATCCATTAAAATCTCATTATTTTACTATAATTTATGAATACGTTTCAAACTAAAATTAAATGATGATTTGACAATTTTTCTATGTAACATACATTTTACCAATTTATATTTAACCTAGACATCTACTACTAGTCATTAAATGAGTTGATAAGATGGATATTATGAGTTATATAATGTTATGTTTACCGTAAAATTTGATACATCTCATCGGTTCATTTATGATTATGTATCCACGTCAGCAATGGAATAAGTAAAATGTATGTTTCCCGGAAAATTGACGGAAAATGAGTTGATGAGATGGATATACTAAGTTAAATAAGATTAGATAGATAATATGAAATTTCTTATAAATTTAAAAAATGACAAAATTGTTGCTAGTTTATGTAATTATTGTAGTCTTCGTTGGATTTATTATATATCCAAAAAAATATACAATAAATCATAATATCACATACTATGGTAAACATAATATTATATAACCCAACATAACAATCTCATCATCTCAGTTAATGACTAGACTTTTATGTGAGCAATGAAACCGCTAATATATATATAGGTAAGTTCAATTGAAAAAATAAAAAAGATTGAAAATGGGGAATCATTCTCAGTCACTCATTTATTTTTGTCGCAAAACCTTCGTCCTACCAGCAGAAATGTGAAAGGAATACAGATGTGTTTCAAACAAAACATGCTTCCTTAAACTATGCTAATTATTACCTTAATATACATAAAAACACAGTTTTTTTTGTTTTTTATTTTTTATTTTTAAGAAACTATTTTTATCGAAAAATGATTATAAATATATCAAAATTCATGATTTTTTATTCTCTACAAATAGACATCTATATTGATATATACTTTTAAGATAAAATAAATTTTTATATATATATTTTCAGCTATCGTTATTCATAAATGAATAAAATGCATTATATTTTTAGTACGGCATATTCGTTATTCAATTATGAATAAAAACTATGATTAATTTTCTTTTTACAGATGAAGTATCATTCATATATAAATATGGCATATAATAAACTCTTTACAGCTTACACCAACTCTCGTCACATGTTATATATACATATGAATAAAACCTGTATTGACTTTCCTCACAAGTTATATTTATATACGAAGAGCACATTTATCATAATTTTGTTACAATTCAATTGTTATTCCTATATGAATAAGTAATTCATATTTTCAAAATACTTCATCTTTTTTTAACATACTACTTATTTATATATTAATAACAAATGAACTTTAACAAAAATCTTAAAAATGTTTTATTAGTATATGAATATAACATATTACGATAATTAATATACGTTTTATTCATATATAAATACAACATGTGACGAAAGATGATGTAAAAAAAATATATTTTATGTAACAAAACTTTATAATGTGTTATATTCATAAATAAACAATACTTAAACTGTAAAAAAGTTAAGCATGCGTTTTATTCTTAAATGAATAACAAATATACTTTAATAAAAATCTGATACATTTTTATTCACTTATGAATAACGATAGCTGAAACTCTAAATTTTTATTTTATTTTATCTTAAAAATATATCAATATGAATATCTATTTATAAAGAATAAAAAATTATGAATTTTTATATATTTAAAATAAATTTTCGATGAAAATAGCATTCTAAAAATAAAAATAATAATAAATTTTCGATGAAAATAGCATTCTATTTATAAAGAATAAAAATATATATATATATATATATATATATATATATATATATATATATATATATATATATATATATTCCAAAAAGGTAATAAGAAATGGTAGAAGATTATGATATTTCAAGTTAGAGAAATTAAATATATTTTTTATTATCTTTTGTTTTTATTTATTTTTTTCTATTTATTTAAGATGATTATATGTTTACAAGTTTAACATTATAATCAAAGTTAAATTAAATTGCATGACACTTGTCATTATCTTAAATACATAAGAAGATAGTTTGAATAAAAATTAGAAGGTTATTTTATTTCTCTTTAGGTTAAAAATAGATATAAAGCTTAGAAAATCAATAAAATATTTGCTATTATTGTAAAATGTAAATTATATTACTGATATATCTTTATTAAAAAAAAACCAAACATAACAATGACAAAGTTTAAAACACCAAATATTTACTTTGTGAACACTCGTTATCCTATCAATTTTTTTGAACAGCTAAATACTTCATTAAAATCTAGCAAACAACTAGCAAACCAAACCAATTAAAACCAACTAGCTAAAAGAGGATTTTAAACTCCAACTAACCGACACTTTTTTGTCCTACTAGCAATTCAAAGAAACAAATACTCAACTACAATATCAAAAACTCTACCTTCCATCGCGGGAGAAACGCCAAACACAAAATCATTCATGTACCATTATTGGACCCATATTAACACACACATAATAACTTCTAACACTTTCTTTTTCAGAGCCCATACATGTAACTGCTTAGTCCATTCAAACGCATCATCTAGAGTTTCCACCAAAGGGACTTCAAAGTCTAACTAAGAAAAACCTTCTCCCAAACTAACACCGAAGTGGCACACTTCCATAACACATGATTAATGACCTTCGGATATTCCAAACACATTGGACACAAAATATTGCAACATTTAACACCTTTGCAATTATTCTATCAAATTTATGTTTTGAAGACTAAATAGTCTATACTGCTAATTGTTGAATGTGTTTAGGTACTTATGTTAATTATTGTATTAAATGTTCTTCTTTTAGGTGTTAGTATAAGCATGGGATTGCTTTTCCTAATGGTGATCGGCTATGCATTATACAAAATAATCAAGAAAACTAAAGCTAAGAGAAGGAAACAAAGGTTTTTTAAGCGTAATGGTGGTCTCCTTCTTAAACAACAACAAGCAACTGATGTTGATGAAACCATACTCTTCACCTCTAAAGAATTGGAGAAGGCTACTGACCATTTTAATGAGAATAGAATTCTTGGTCGAGGTGGTCAGGGTACTGTATATAAAGGTATGTTAGCAGATGGACGGATCGTAGCAATCAAGAAATCAATGGTGGTTGATGAAAGTCAAGTAGTAGAGTTCATCAATGAGGTAGTCATTCTTTCACAGGTCAACCATAGAAATGTGGTCAAATTATTAGGATGTTGCCTAGAGACCGAGGTCCCACTACTTGTCTCTGAGTTCGTCTCAAATGGTAATTTATATGACCTTATTCAAAATGAAACTGATGAGTTTTCATTCTCTTTATATATGAGATTACAAATTGCTACCGAGATCGCAGGAGCACTTTCTTACTTACATTCAGCAACCTCCATTCCGATATACCATAGGGATATCAAGACAACTAATATACTTTTGGATGAAAAGTATCGAGCAAAAGTTTCTGATTTTGGTACTTCAAGGTTGGTATCAATAGATCAAACTCATTTGACTACATTAGTTAAAGGGACTTTTGGTTATTTGGATCCAGAGTACTTTCAATCGAGCCAGTTCACTGAAAAAAGTGATGTCTATAGTTTTGGAGTTGTTTTGTTGGAACTTTTGACAAGAGAAAAGCCAATCTCCTTAACTAGATTTGGTGAAAATAGAAGTTTAGCTACACACTTTATGCTAGCCATGGAAGAAGGCCGTGCGATGTCTGTTTTTGATGCAATGATTGTTAAGGAAGGTTTTAGGACCGAGTTGTTGTCTATAGCTAATTTGGCAATGCGATGCTTGAACTTCAATGGAAAAAATAGGCCAACAATGAAAGAAGTTTCCATTGAGTTAGAATGCATTAGATTGTCACATGTTTCCCTTATAGATCAAACTAATGTTGGCGTTGTGAAGCAATATGAGGAGGTATCACCAATATATGGTAAGTCAACATCAACATCGGTGACAATCAGTGACAATCGTAGTTGATGGATCATAGTAAATCTTATGCTTTAATTCAGTTAATCATTAGTTTCTCCTATTACAGTTGTTTCTTGATTAATAATTGTCTATAAAGATTAAAAAAAACAAGTCATAGGTTGTACTTGTTTTTACCTCACTTATTTATATTTCATGCTTTTGGTATTACATATTCCATTGTTTAAAATTTGATCGGTTTATAATATATAAATACTATCAACGTTATGTTTGTCTTATCATTAATCTTTACAAGGTTTATTGGTGAACAAATTAAAATTTGCAACAACTAGTTAAAATTCTTGAAACGAACTTGTTGAGGACAATTGTGTTTAGATTTCATACCCATATAACTTATTTAATAATTTAAGAAAATACATGTTTTGATTTGAATCATTGTTTCACATAGTATATGTACGATTATATATTAAATATACAAATGTAGCTTACTGAAGCTAAATTTGGGTAGTGAGTAGAAATGAAATTATATGATCTTAACAAGCGTCATTATAGTGATTGCTAAAAAACAAAAGATAATAGAAATAATAATAAAAAAAAGATATTTTCTTATACACTCGAAATTCTCCACAATAAATAAACAACTTTTTGCCATATGTCATCTTCTCCTTTATTTGGACAGACGTCATTTTTTAGAATTTTAGAATTTTCTATTTTCCACTTGTCATTTTATTGTATTTTTCATTTTATTAAATTAAAATTCCACATTTTATATTTAAGGTAATATATATGTAAGGTATTTATTAGAAAGAGTTTATATATGTAATATATTCAATACATTAAAGCTTCATTGATTTTAATAATTTAAAATTTTTCTTATTTTCTTTTAAATTTAAACATTTCAAATGGTTAAAATTTCATATTTAATTTTTTTTTTTAAATAAACTCATGTAATACATGATTCTGACACCTAGTTTAGTAACAACTTGAAAGTGTTCCCTCATGTTTCGTGAGGGATGCTGACAATGTTTTTTCTTAAGAAATTTAAAGGAGTGTTTTTGAAAAAAAAAAACTTCACATCGACATTTTTTGTAAATTACAAACTTATAAGGATTAAGCCTACAAATATCCAAAAAATTTGTGGCAAAACTCCATAATAAAAAAGTTTAGTGGCAAAAGTCCAAAAATCCAAAAAAAAAAATATTGTTCAATAATAATTGCAGTGTAGTCCCACATCGTCATTTTATTTTCCAAATATAATAAATCCTTTTCCAAACAAATATATAGTCCCACAACTTCATTTTATTTACCAAATGTAATAAATCCTTTTCCAAACAAATATATTTTTCTTTAAACATGATGTACAAGCCTTATATGAATTTGGAATCTCATATTGGTAATCATGACGTTTGTTGCAAAGAAGAGGCCATGAAGTGTATTGAATTTTCCTTTTCCTTACTTGCTCCAATCACATGCCATGCATATACAACAAAACTTATTTTCTTGTAAGCATCATATACAAGAATCATATGCGTATAAATTTCTTCTTCAATAAGTTAAACTTTTAATAAGGAAGCATAAGAATTTAATGGTCACATGAAGCTCCCAATTTAGCATTAAGGTATCATATACGATTGGCACACCAATTTATATATAGCAAATAATAATGTACAAGTTTGATATACACATGCAATCTCCACATTTCAATTAAACTAGTGAAGAGTCCCCACTTTGCGGGGTTAGAATAGTACCGGCCACACATTCAATTTGAATGTTCTAAATTCAAATATTTTTAATTGCGTTCATGGTGAGCATGTGTTAACAAACTCTTACCTGTTGTGTTTGAGATTTCTTGGCATGTATAATGCTAAAAAATATATAAAACAATTCCTACACTGCATCTTTGAAGTTTAAGAAACAAAGCATGATCTAATTATAACTATAGTCCCAAAATTCTAGCAGGTGAAAAGAAAATTGTGCAACACTTGAAGTCGCTCCTAACCTAAGGGTAAAATCGGATATCTATTATTATTGGGTTTACCTGAACTGCAGTAACAAACAAAAAATTAGTAGTTTTTTTTAGGTATTTGTCTTACCATATTCCTTGGTGGCAGTTATTGCAACAATATTTGCCTCACCATTAACTCTAAAATAAATAATTTAATTACTATATATATATATATATATATATATATATATATATATATATATATATATATATATATATAAAAGAAAGTGTAATGCCGTAGTTAGGTAATTGTCAAAGTACAACGCCCTAATATGAAAAAAAAATATGTGCAATGTTGTAATAGAAAGAAATAAATGTATTATGCTATAATACACAAATAAACAAAAGTTTGTTGTTATTTCTTGTGTTTACACCAAGTATTATCGCATAAATTGTACAATACCTTGTCCTCAGCTCTTCCCTTTCGTAATGGGTTCGAGCACCAAAAAGGAAAAAGTTGTATTCTCCAACTTCTTACCTAATTTCCACATTCGCCCAATCTAATGTCCCAATTAAAAAGATGCAGCCATTATTGGAAGATTTCATGTTGCTAGTTCCACTGGCTTCCATTCCAGCAGTAGTGGAATGGAGTCAGAGTAAGTATATATATATATATATATATATATATATATATATATATATATATATATATATATATATATAGGGAAAGGATCAAATGAGAATACCTAAAAGGTTGAGAACGCGAGAACAATTGTGAACCAATCATTTTATAAGGGCATAAAAAGAATTTTACATTATAATTAATTATGGATAATTAATTAATTCCTAAAATCTTGGGATTTAATCTAATTAATAGATTTTTTACCTAAATATTAGGAATTTGTATAATCTATTTTTAATTAACAAAATCAATAAAATGATTTTAAAATATGTTTTTTACCATAATTTAAAAAAAAACGTTTTTTGAAAGTTTATTTTTACCAACAACATCAAAAATACTGACGCGTTAATCATTTTATCCGAATATTTGTAATCATACATGAATAAAATATATTTGTAATCATATATGATCCCGGTGATAATCTTGAATGAATAGATGGATTAAGTTATATTGATAAATGAATAAAACACAAATGAATGAACACAGGTAAATATGAATTGCTTTTGAATAGAAAACATTGAATACACATTTAATCACTAATAAATACACTTCAGTTAGTAATGAATATACATCTAATCTTATGAATACACATTTAATCACTAATGAATACACTTCAATCTGTAATGAATATACATTTAATCTTATGAATACATTTGAATACACATGTTCTTGCTCTTTTGTTGGACCTACATGAAATATGGAAAACAAAGACATAGCCAAACTCTGTTCATCACCATCACCATTTGTTTCATAGAATCATGAGATATATGGTAGACTTGTTCTTCAAGAATATTACTCAAAACAAAAGCCTAATCATCTGGGCCTTTTTCTAGCAGGTGAAAAGAAAATTGTGCAACACTTGAAGTCGCTCCAAACCCAAGGGTAAAATCGGATATCTATTATTATTGGGTTTACCTGAACTGCAGTAACAAACAAAAAATCAGTAGTTTTTTTAGGTATTTGTCTTACCATATTCCTTGGTGGCAGTTATTGCAACAATATTTGCCTCACCATTAACTCTAATATATATATATATATATATATATATATATATATATATATATATATATATATATATATATATAAAGAAAGTGCAATGCCGTAGTTAGGTAATTGTCAAAGTACAATGCCCTTATATGAAAAAAAAATATGTGCAATGTTGTAATAGAAAGAAATAAATGTATTATGCTATAATACACAAATAAACAAAAGTTTGTTGTTATTTCTTGTGTTTACACCAAGTATTATCGCATAAATTGTACAATACCTTGTCCTCAACTCTTCCCCTTTCGTAATGGGTTCAAGCACCAAAAAGGAAAAAGTTGTATTCTCCAACTTCTTACCTAATTTCCACATTCGCCCAATATAATGTCCCAATTAAAGAGGGAAGTTTTGATTGGGAAGAAGTAAAGCTTGTTGCCAAAGAGTTGGTATATATATCGCCAAACTAGCAGCTTCTATATTTATATATATATATATATATATATATATATATATATATATATATATATATATCTTGTTTTGGTGTTTGTTAATTCTAACCAATAAAGAACACACCTAATACTATATTTATTTGACATACATTTTTTCTATATCAATCATGAAACTGCAATTGATGAAGGAAAAACCACTCTTGAACAAGCCACATATGCCCTTTCACTAGTCTTTGACAAAGATCATGGTGGATTTGTAAGAGGGGTTGGCACGGGAGTCAGTTCAACCAAATATTGGGTCTGCCTCGAGCCAAATCCTCATCAAAATAAAAAAAAAATTGTCCTTCAGCAAAGGCTACATGAGCAAATAAACGCAAATCAAGATCTGAGGTGCCAAGTTGAGTATTTGATGAGGTTGGTAGTTCCTCCTATCGTTAATCATGCAGACTTTCTAATAACTACTACTACAACTCCAAGAAAAGGCTCCTACAGGAAAAGTAAGTAAGTGAGTGTTAATAAAATGGGTTGCTAATTAATGCTTTCATCGCATATTGACATCCCAGAAAAGGAAAAACAATTTTGTGGGTAAATCGACATTTCAAATACCCCCAAACAGGTCGAACACGATGTAGGTTAATTAATACAGTAATATGTTTTGTACAATTCTTTTCCAATATTGTTAACTAAATTTCGTAGACTAAACATGGTAAACTATTTTCGGGAAAGTCTGAATGAGGGTGAAGAAAATGTTACAGCTACGTGTGAGGAGCCACAAGCTGGGAATTCAACTGAAAAAGGAATAGAAACACCTCAACCCAAGACACTGTAGCAACTGGACAAAGAATGTATATTCCAAAAGTTATATATATATATATATATATATATATATATATATATATATATACATGTCAGGTAATTAAAATTTATTTTTAATACAAATATTAATAATATGTGCCTGTGGATGCAGATGATAAAATGTTCACTACCAGTG